TCTATACTAAATGGATGTGTGAACCTTGACAAAGTTGTTCAAGCTCCATGAATTCATTTTTCATATTCATAAAATGGTGATGATAGAAGTACTTATTATTGCATCATAGAATTGTTGGAGGATTTAATTATGTAATGGATATAAGTACATATGTAGACATTTAAGTAATAAATATTCACTTTTCCTGAGAAAAAATATATAATACATAAATAATGCCTGGGCAAGTGGAGATCTAAATCCAAACTTTATTTCAGAACTTAACTGTGTTTTATGTTTTAAAATACATTATAATTCAGTAAAGCTGTTTTCTGAGGGTGTTTAGTGAGAAAGGTAATCATTATGTAAGTCAAATTTTTTATATATATATATAATCTTCCTCTTCTCCCTGGAAGACATGATAAAATCAGTCCTTAGCCTTGATGTGAACAACCTTGAGTTGGTGCTAACAAATTGTCTTCAGCCTTTTTTTATAAGTAGTGTCAGCTAATTGCTAATCACTCTTCTTTTTGGTTATTTATCCAAAAGATAAGAACATTAGTAAGCCATAAATACCCATTTTGTAAAAACTGCATAGCTAGACAGATTTGTAATCCTTATTAGGGTAATAATCCATCTGTTATGGAACTGGATCAATTTGTAAATTAAATTGATTAAAAGGGGGGAAAAAAGGGCCATGACTTTTCCCCCATTAAGCATTTCCTTAAATGCTAAAAAGATTTGGGGAGACTCAAACTCTTTCTCTCTTTGCTCAACACAGAGAGAAAGCCAAATATCTATTAAAAAGAGGTGTGGGTGCGGTTTATGTTTATTTTTTTAATTCTGATTGCTCCTGAAAGTTTCATATTTTTGACAGGGTTTATTGTTAAAACCTTTTGATGACTGCCAGAAGATTTCTACTGTTCTCACTGATCCGTTTAGTAAATGTGTGACTATGTTTGAATTTTCTTATGCACTTAGCTCACTTTATTGTTATTTTCATCCTGTCTGATAAAAAAAAAATCTCCTGATGATTCTTCTAACAATGTGTGATTGGAATAATAACTTCACACACTGAAGAGTTTTGTGCTGCAGCTGAGAAGCATGTAAATACAAGCTGCTTATTTGCAAGAAGCTTCCAGATTTGCAATATGATTGCTATGGAAACCACATAATGAAAACCTTATAACCATCTGTGTGGTTTGATGGATTTTACTGCATAGCTGAGCTGTTTTTGTTTACTGTTATTAAAATGTTGAATGGAATGTATTAACTCACAAACATTGGCTCTTTGAGGTATTAATTAGTATTGTACAATGATTGTGCCTCAACACTAAAATACATATTTAATAATAAATCTAAATAAAAAACATGTGAATGTATATATTTCTAATGTATTGTGAAGGTGATTAAATTGCCTAGAATTTTGGTCACTTGTTCTTACATGTATTTTTGGAGAGCTTTGTTAAGATTTATTTTTATGGTTTTTTAATCCATTTGCTCACTCTGTATTTATTGAACATCTCCTTTGTGCCAAGTTCTATTCAAGGTTCAGTCTGAGGGTTTTTTCCTGCCCAAGATTCAAAAACATATACGATATTTGATTTTGTTATCTTTTATATGAAAGCTGTTTGTATTGTTAGTCCAAGATAAAATGAGTTAATAAAATGAATTGTTTAAATATTGTTAAGAAAAATTGATATAAGAAATGCATAAGGCTTTGATTTAAAAGTATCATTACCAGGTTTAAAATGGAAAAAGGGAGTGTCCTTAATGGGCATCTCATCCCCTAAAATCTGCTTATTAAATATCATCTCACATGGATTTCAATTTGGATATTAAACATTGATACTTAAGTAAATCCTTTAATACCATTATTCTTATAATTTAAGAATGTGTAAATCCTTTAATACCATTATTCTTATAATTTAAGAATACATATTTCTAAGGCCAAAGCTCTCTGACACCAATATACAATTCAAAGCACACATTACTGACACTTAAATTTTAATAAAATTAAAGATTCACAGACAAATACTTCTAAATTCATTGTTAAGTTTGCCAAAGAGCAGTGTTTTTTCATTAATTACTGTAATCAATTTTTTTTATCTTGATGCTGATTTGGGTGGTGAAATCTAAATCCCACAGTCTCTTTTTTTGTTTTTGAGATGGAATTTCATTCTTGTCGCTGAGGCTGGAGTGCAGTGGCGCGATCTTGGCTCACTGCAACCTCCACCTCTCACGTTCAAGCAATTCTCCTGCCTCAGCCTTCTGAGTAGCTGGAATTTCAAGGGCCTGCCACCATGCCCAGCTAATTTTTGTATTTTTAGTAGTGATGGGGTTTCGCCATATTGGCCAGGCTTGTTTCAAACTCCTGACCTCAGGTGATCCACCTGCCTTGGCCTTCCAAAGTGCTGGGATTACAGGCATATGAGCCAATGCACCCGGCTCCCACAGTCTCTTTAAAGTCAGGAATAGTTCTTACTGCATTGACACAGTTACAGCTTTTGACTGAGGACAAGTGCTTTTAACCATTTTTTAATTTACTTCTTACTATTGAATTTGTGACTAAATTAAAAGGGGAGTGGGTGCTACAGAAAGCAAATGTGAAAAGTAAGGAAAGCTTTCTCCTTTACCTTTTACGAAATTATCTGTCAATAAAATGAGTAGAATAAATGACTGTAAATGACCCTTATACCTTTAAAAATTTCTATGGAAACACTATATTAACCCATTTATTAAAGCTAGTCCTTGAGGTTTGGCATATGTGAGATAACAATTGTTAAAAAGAAAAGAGACAGGATACTTTTTTAAAGTGTAGTATACTTTCATTAGGTCTTCTATTTATTTGACTGAACCATGTTATCAGTGTTGGGTTTAACAATATTAATAAAGTACCAGATATTTTCAGGTGTCCCTTATATTGGAGCTATCATTATTTTGTTTGAATTGAGTTACAAAAATTCATAACAGTTCTATTCATCACGTAAGTACCACTACCTTCCAGCTTGATTGACATGCCGATTTTGATTCATCCCCATTTAAAATTTTCGGGAGACCCCTAATTTTCCTAAATTTCAGGACCTGCAGTCCTGACTGCTCTACCATACTTTGCAGTTGCCCCTGGACCTGTTCTCTGGGTTGCCCCACCAATACATTAAATCCCTCATGTTGAAAACACAACTCCTTGTGTTCCCTGGTAAGACAGGTTATCTTGGCTATCCTCCTTTTAGTAGTAATATGCCCATTTCTCAGCTAACTAAGCTCAAAACTTTAGCCATCCTTTGTTGCTCTTTTTCTCCCCTCATTTCTCCATATTCAGTCAAGCACAAAGCTTATCCATTCTAGTTTCTTTACCTCTCACAAGCATCTCCTTTCCATTTCCTTTGCCCCTTCAGTTCAGGACTTCCTTCCCCTTCTTTAGGTTATCTGAGACAATGGGATCAGATGTCCATTCCTGAAGATAGATTCAGTCCTGCTCTTTCTCTCATCAAAAACCTTCTAAGGCTCTTATTGTCCACCAAATAAAAGCCTGAAGTCCATAACAAGATGTTCATCGCCCCTCAACAGCTGGTCTAAACTATGGGCATAACTCCTACCTGGCTGTTCACCTATGTGTAGCAGATTCTTTAGTCAAAATGAATGTGACTGTACCTTTTTCTTTTAAAGTTCATACCTATCTCTCTGGAAATATCCTTCTGACACTCTCTCCTTATTTAAATTCTCTACATCCCTTGGAGCCTTCATTGCTACTCCCTAGTTGGGTGGTTTCTCTGCTACGCTTCTTCATTATTTTGTGCCTCACCTGTCACATTTAGCCCCCTTCAGCCTGTTTTCCTTTAGATCTTGTCTTCTGTCCCGTATGTGCTGTCGGCTTCCTGTGAGCAGAGGCTTCCTGTTACTTTTACCTCCTTGGTAGATCCCCTCTGTCTCACAGTTAGTTAATATCCAATGAAGATTGACTGATTGATTGAATAGTTACCATGGCTACATTTATTTATTTTGCATATTTTTCTTTAAAGTTTAGGAGTTTTCTTGGAATTATAATTCTTTTTGAACCCAGTTTTTCTTTGGCATGCCATTTGTTTATTTGTCCTGCCTTAAGTATTTCTAGGTTTGTATGTAAATCATTAGGTGAGAAAAAAAAAACATAATAAATATTTTTCTTGGTGTAAAATAGTTTATTAAGTCTATTTAAAACTCTGCTCATTTAATTTTATCTTATTTCTTTCCACAATCTGGGGAAGGAATGGGATAGATGAATGTGAAACAGAAGTAAATAAAGCACTGGTTATATGTAGGATAAAGAACATTGACTTTATAATCACAAACCTAAGTTTGAATGACACACATTGGAAGTCACTTCACCTTTTTGAGTCTCTGAAAATATGCTGGTCTGTAAAATGAGAATTAAAAATTATTTGTCTATGAGATTTTAATATCCAGCATTTTATATGATATATAACAGGTCCTCAGTATAATTTGGGGGGAATTACCTTGAAGGATGAGGATCCTTATAGTATCCTGTGAAGATTAAGTGAGAAAACATATGAAGTTACATGATACTCAGTAAGTGATTTATAGGTTAACTGCATTTTTAATCACACACTTTCTCCTTGCTATATGATGTTTTAGGGACCATGATTTTATATATGATACTCTTGCCACACAATATAATGGGTGCATCAGTATAATGCTCGGTGTTACTTTACTGGATTTAGGGCTTTACTGAAATTAAGATCATTCCAGATGAGATTCTAAAAGTATTTAAAACAAAACATGCAGTGCACTAGTACATATCTTAAATTTTGCCAAGGCATTTTGGAAAGGTTGCTATTTGGAAGTAGCTGGTATTTTATTTATTCAGTGTTAGATTGTTGAAAAAGGAAAGTGAATCTTGAGTTGTTTTATTCTCTGAAAAATAATGTTTGTGTTATACTTTTAGTTTTGCTTTTTAAATGGAGTACTGTATTGTTTTCCCTGAGCAAACCCTTCAGTGTGCCATTGATAATGTTTGTTTACAGAAGAAGAAGAAGACAGCAGTGCTCCTGTGAAAGTGGAAGAACAAAGGAAGATGAGTCAGGACAGTGCTCATCACACCTCAGGTAATGAATTGTGTAGCTTCCTGGCAAACCTTATTTTGCTTTTGTTCACTTTCATTTTATCCACATTCTGACTGTTCTGAAGACGTTTACACAGCTCCCCAAAGTTGGCTTGTTTGGCCTGGATATCCTATGGCTGATAAGCTGCTTAGTCCCATTTAGGATGCATGAAAACCACTTGAGAAGGATTTATAAAGTAAGCCAATTTATACAAGGTATTCCTTCCTGAATTACTTTGTAATGACTCAATTAGCTTTCATTTCTGCACAAAGGAGATTTAGTTGCATAAATTAGCTTATCATCATTGAGGAAGTGTCACTGCTAAAGGACAGTTTATAGATACAACATGCAGTTGCTGTCAAACCTATAAGAATGTAATATAGACATCTGTGTATACTTTGTGCTTGAGCAGAACAGACTTCTGCCATTCAGAGACTAACAGGGGACAACAAGTTGCCCAGGGGACTGGCAATGTAGACGTCTCTGAAAAGGTCAACTTGACACAGGCTCTGACAATCGACCCACAGCTCTGTCTTCTTTGATAAAAATCAGATAAACTTAAGACCGCTAATTGATCTGCAGCCTGTTTAAATGTTGGCCATGCATATCTTCATTGCATATGATTAACACAGCAAGCAAATGAATTGGGTAAGAAATGCCAGAGTCCAGTGACAGCAGCTTAAAAATTGGAAAAGGACACTGGTGGCCTAAAAGGCTAGGAAGGATGTTCCCCTTATCCATTTCCACTTGGCACATAGCCCCAAGTACTAATTATGAATGAGACTGGCAAAATAACTGCACACGCTCTGTGCAAAATCACATGATATGGACAACTTTTCTTGCTTGTTATTTCCAAATAGCAGGAGATAAACCATATCTGTAGTGCAAGCATGAGGTTAGTTTTGATAAACCAGCAATTATTTTACACGGAAAGAAGAAAAAGACTGCCTTCTTATCAGGACTTTACACCTCTTTATAGCCACATGTCAGCTGGGGCAAGGTCTGCCATATCATCTCTGTGTCTTGCAAAAAGCTAGAGTTAGGGTCACCTTCCCCTCTCTGATATGTCCATACATCACTCTTTCAAGCTGTCAAGGCTGGGTGGACAAGAAGTGTATGTTCAGGAAGTGGCTTTCCAGAGTCCTTCCTACTGTGACATGTGGAAAGGAAACAGAGGCCTGATTCTAGACCTGGACAGGAAAGCAGAAGTAGGTTGCTACAAAAGGTTTTGGTTAGTGTTTTTTTAGAAAGGAAGCAAGAACAAAATCATTACATGTTAGCACTCTACTCCTATAAAATGCAACTATAAAACACTGAGGCTTAGCGAAACCTTGAGGACTCTGTTCAATAATAATTTAAGTGTATATGTTTTGGGTTATATATCATGAAGCTTCTGCCAAAAGCATGTAGTTTTCTTTTTTAAAAAAATTTCAGTGCAGGTATAGAAGGTAGATACATACAGATGGTCCTTCCACAGATATAAATATTTTGGCTTAAAGCAATTGTATTTTTCAAAAACCCTTTTAAAGTAAACATCTCCCAAATTTTTGCCTTTGAGGGTAGGAAAAAAAATCCATTTTCCTCAAAGGAATGCAGTAAATAGATCTAGGTTTTCATGCAATAGCTATATAAGCACTACAATAATTCTTATCTTTAGTGACATGAAATTCTTTTCAAGCAACAGTTTTAATACTTTTGCATAGTAGTGACCTTTGCTCTTCCCTAGGCTGTCAAAGATGTAACACTAGAAGTTTGTTTGCCACGCAGGGCAGTGAGTTGACAAGGGTATTACTATCTTGCTGAGCATCATATGACATGAACTTCTAACCTTACTCAAGAATGTTATATATTTTTCACATTGACTGATTTTACTAAACGCCTCCCACACACAGACTTTTCTAATGTAAAATATGTACGCAAAAACAAAATTAATCTTGTGTTTCTTACAAGTTTCTTCATGTTCAAACTTACATATCTTGCACATATGTGAGTGACTGTGTGTGTGTGTATATATATACATATATACACACACATATATATATAAAGATTCCATTTGATTTTTGGAACATTATAGAATTTGCTTACTTCTCTAAAATAGTTTTTAAACCTTGTAACACCAAGGAAGATATTCTCCACTATCTTATTCTCATGTTTCACCTATTGTCATGTTTTTCATCTTTGTAGAGTATCTATGTTTCATAACAATTCTGTTAGCTTTGTCCAAAGATCTCCTCTTGTATGTTTTTAAAAGCAGGAGTAAGAACATTGTTTAAATCTTTCACCGGCTGGCTAATGTATTTTTTTTCTTCTCACTTTCTTAATCATTCATGCCTCTCATGACAAGAAACATAATAAGGTGGGTTTTTTTGGTAATTTTGAAACTATAGATCATGATGTGGATACAATAGGAAAATTAATCCATGTAGTAAAGACAACTAAACATAATTTGTGCTTTAAAATGTATGTTTATGACATTTGCCTCATCCCATTTTTTAAAAAAACATATCTCAAATGGATTATTTTCCAGTGTTTAGGGGTAAACAGTGTTAACTTTTGCGAACCTACTGTGCTTCTGAGGCTGTCTATGCTATTTTTTTGTGTATGTTTAGCTACACTTTAAATTTTTACAAGTAAGCTAGAGGAGATTGCTGCCCTCTAAGGAACAAGATCGTTCCTGATTTTTGTGTCCAGATTTCATATCAAGAATTCAAACATTACCCCTGAGGAGACTAAAGCTAATAAACATCTATTGCCAGGGTTTTTTTCCCCTACTTACAATTTTTCTGCTTTATAACTAGTATTGCATACTGAAATAGACTAGTAAATCATATATGTATGTAGCTGTATGACATAAAAAAATTATTCTTTAACAGAGTTCTCATATGGGACAAAAAATGAGGTTGATCTTTGGATAACATCATCATCTAGATTATAGAAAACACAGTTGAAAATGCATCTTTTTCCCAGTATTGCCAAATCTGCTAGCTCTGTTGCCTCTTTACAGCAGTGAGATTTAATGAAATGCTCATGATGCACATCTAGGGAGAGATGCATCTTGCACACGGTGGGGGTCTCTCTTCCCCTCATGTGCTTCTGTAACTCCCATTAGTGTTAATGGGAGTTTCACCAAGCGTATCAAGGGGAAGAGAGACCCCAAAGTGATAAGGATTATGTGTTAGAAATCACCATATACTTTTCTTTTCCTTCTTTCTCTCCCCTCCCCTTTGAGAATCTATCAAATGAAAAACTATTTTAAGAGAATCTGAAAAAAGGAAGAGCAGCCTGGACAGCTGGGGACCCACTGGGACAACATAGCTAAGCCAAAACCTCTACTCTAGTTTTTAGCCAAGTTTTGTTTCTTCCACGTTTTTGGAGCAAGCCTAAAGCGAGCAGCATGGGGAAGACAGAGTAAAGAAACCAGCCATTTAGATCCTTTTACCTCCTGGCCAGTTACTGTGGGGGAAGGCCTTGCATGTGAAATGATGTCATCCTCTCTTTGCTCTAATTCCCTGACTTTTAAACTGACACTGACGGACTGCAAGGGGCACAACATTTGACCCATTTACCAGTTGATTTAATCTGACAAGAATGTTTCAACTTCTAAATCTCTATTTGTCTAAGTAAGTGGTTTTTAAAGGAAATCAGTCACTTTATTATTAAGTGATTTTTTTTTCCTTTTTAAAAATTGGACAATGTTTGAAGTGATCTGGCCAGCTGGAGTGCCCTCTAGTGTCCATTTTTAGAATTTACTTAATACACGCTTTGGGGGGAAAACGTAATGTAGTGGCCACAAGCATTGTTAGTTCTTGGTTGGATTCCCAAGCTTGTGTACATCCCTGCTGCTATCAGTGATGAATGCTCAAATGCAAGTATGGAAAAGTCAGTAACGTATCTGTCTCTCCCACTGCTTCCTCCTTTCTGTTCTCCTCCCCCCCCCACTCCCATTGTCCCTCATTCTTAGAAAACAAGAGACAAAAATGTAATAGAGGGATTTTGCTAGGTTGTGCATCTTCTAGTCCATCTTTATTTTCTTGTAAGTGAAAAGTAGCACTCTATTTCCTAGATATTCAGACTCCAAATTATTTAGAATCTTTTTTGGCTTTAAAATATTTTATATATTAAAGAGAATTTTCTAGTAAACTCACACTTTGTGTAAATCACAAACTGTGTGTAATAAGATGAACACCTTAATGATGTGCTAATGTGACTACTTGTGTTGGAATCATAAAAAGCCTGCTGTTTGAGAGCCATGTAACAATACTGAGATGACAACCCTGGACCAGCATGTGTCTCAACAGTTATCCCCTCAGAATTCAAAGATGACATTCCAGTGATATAAGTTGTCAGCACATATATATTCTGCCTAGCTAGTGAATACACAGACATCTTATTGATATTACTTGCATTCTTTTGGTGTTAACTCATCAAAACTCAATTATCATGAAATTAAAAACAGGAAACAGTTCTTAGTGTAACAAAAGCGTCAGTGTGTTTAACTGTATTCTGTTTCAGGAGATCCAAATTGTATAAGTGACAAAGTATTTATTACCCATTTATTGTGGTATTACAGAGTGGAAAGTGCTAAATAATCAATCAGTTAATGGTCTGTATGGCAGTTTGAGCACATCACATCCATTGTGCTTATGCTGTTAGAAGGATGAGCTGATACTCCAGTGTATGTTGCATGTTTATTCAGAGCCTAATGTCCTAAACTGGGGCTGACAAAAATCTGTTGAAAAATGCAGCTTCAACACTGGCAATTTCAAAGTTGCTAAAAAATTTCAAAAGATAACTTTAAGTGGCTTTGGGTACAAATGCCACTAAGGAAAACTGCTGCAATTACTCTCTATATCATTTCCACATTGTCCTCATCCATTAACCAGCTCTAGGGTTTAGTTTTTTGTTTTTTGGTTTTTTAAAATTTTGGTTCCTTAGTTTTGGTTTTATATTTGTACATTAACTCCATAAAATCTCAGTGTCGCTAGCATTTCTTAGGAGAATACTATTATTATTTTCATGGAGTGTCCCAAATTCTGTGAGATGGTTATTTCACAAAGTGTGTGTTACATCTCATGGATATTGCTTATTGTGAAGTGTGGTAGACATACCTTCAAAACATGTTGCAAGTGGGCTCAGATTTTTTCTTTAAAATAAGTGGGAAGCAAACTTTAGGTGCTGGTTTGATGAAAGCATATAGCAGTTACAGGTTTTAGATGAGAGAAAGAAAAAGAAAAGCAGAAATTCAAAATCAGATCTTTTTGAAAGCTGCCTTAAGAGGATATTGAGAAGTAGGAGTCGTGGATGCAATAAAATACTCATTTACTCAGGACAGTTTTTTTAGATTGTTTTGGTGATCTAGGACATTGTTTAATTTCTATTGGTTTATTTTGAAATGAGGGGTTATTACATGAATGCCCTAACTCATACTTTCTCTTTCTTTTTCCTAGGGGATAAGAGCACTGATTATGCTAATTTTTACCAGGGTCTGTGGGATTGTACTGGAGCTTTTTCTGATGAGTTGTCATTTAAGCGTGGTGATGTGATTTACATTCTTAGCAAGGTAAGAAGATGCCCCAAAATGACATTTGTAAAGAGGGAATACAAAGCTTGATTTTTAATGCATTTGGATTCACAATACTAGGGGAAAATGCCAATTGGAATTCTTCTAGGTCCTTGTTAACAATTGGGAGTTCACAATAATTAATTATTTTGTCAAGTGAAATGTAATCAAATTTTAAACACAATCAGATAACAGGATTCAACTTAGCAGTGTGTTTACCTATCACTTCAGCCCTTGGCTCACATCCACCTACTGCCTTCTCCAGAAACAATATACTTATGTGAAAGCTAACATTGTAAGGTATTGGGTTATTTATTATGTTTTTCTTTCCTCTTCCTTTTTATTATTCTGTGTGCTTATTCTGATTTTGTCTGCCATTCACTACTGGAAACACTGTGTTTATAGAACAAGTTTTTCATCTTTATGTAAATACATTGGGTGTTCCGACAATTTAAAAGCAATGCTTTTCTATTCAGACAGGCTTAGGTAATTTTTTTTTTTTTTGAGACAAGAGTTTCACTCTTGTTGCCCAGGCTGGGGTGCAATGGCACGATCTCAGCTCACCGCAGCCTCCCCCTCCCAGGTTCAAATGATCATCCTGCCTCAGCCTCCCAAATAACTTGGATTACAGGCATGCACCACCATGCCTGGCTAATTTTGCATTTTTAGTAGAGAGAGGGTTTCTCCATGTTGGTCAGGCTGGTCTCGAACTCCTGACCTCAGGTGATCCGCCTGCCTCAGCCTCCCAAAGTGCTGGGATTGCAGGTGTAAGCCACCTCGCTCGGCGGCTTAGGTAATTTTTTAAGTTGTTTCGCATACCGTGTTTGTAAACAAAATGGCAAAGTATATTTCTACAAGCCCATCATACATATACATATTCATATACATATATATATATAATACTTGTATCTGCTTCTTAAAATACTGGATTATTCAGAATCTTTCTTTCCTTAGATCTAAAAGTCAAGTTTCTTATCTTGAGTATACTTCTGGTAATGTATGTGAGCTCCCTTAATTTTCATATTTTAATTTCCCCTATTTTAATATGGGGATTTAAAAATTTCTCTGTCTACTTACAAGACTACTTTAGAAACAAATGATGGATGAAAATAATTTAAATACACGTAGAAAATGTTAAATCATAAGTCTAGGAGTTTGATGTGGTTTCTTTCTTGATTAGAGAAATATTTTGGACTTTTCAGAGAGATAGTAAGAGGTAGTTGTTAGATGCAGAAGACAATTTGGAAAGAAGATCACATACTGAATTTTAACACTAGATGGCTGGTGCGTAAAATCATAGCACAGAAAATCATGGAATGTTAGAGTAATGGGTCTCAATGATGATCATCTAATTCTTGGTTTTATAGATAAAAGGAACTTGGGTAAAGAAAACGCCAGAGTCATGACTTGAGCTGTGTTCTTGACTCCCAGACCAGTGCTTTTCCCTTTGTTTTCTTTCCTGTCCTCCCTCCCTCCCTCCTTCCTTCCTTTCCTTAGGCACCTACCATGTGCCAGAACCCATTCTGACAACTGTGATAAAATAAATAAAGCCAACTGTGATAACTGCTAGTTAGGGTGCCCTAACTAGCTAAGACTGGTCACTTACTTCTCTCAGTCTTCTGCTCATTAGTATGGGTTTTTATTACTGTTGTTCCCAGAAAGATGCTTTCAGTTCTTGGATGCTACAGATAGTCACATTACAAGTCTTGAAGCCTGTTATTGAGCATTAAATTGTCCTGAGTTAAGACAACAGCTTTTTGAGTTATTTATTTAATAGAGAAATCAAACTGATTAGTTTCAGCTCTTGTCAAGACACATTCTTGGAATCATTCCTAAATTTATATAGCTCAAAGTCTTTTTAAAACCAATTTAACTGCAATTGTTTATAAAACTAAAATGTTGATTAGATTTCACTTGCGAGTTCAGATTATAGGAGTAAATGGCATATAGCTATTATACTCCTTTCTTAAATATGAAATTTATAAAGCCCATGTGGATCTACTTATAAAACCTTCTTTATGAGTCAGGTTGTCTTTGTTGCTGAAAGCCTAGGTAGAGCACCAGCTTCCAGAACTGGTTGGGAAACAAGCAATCACAGGCATGTCTTATTTCTACTATTGCCTCAGAAAATAGTTTTCTGTTAACATGAAATTAAAAGTATAATTATAGGTGTGTATCATACTTTTAGGATTCTAAGGGAGGTAGTTCCTGTTTTGCGGAGACTAATTTTATTCATGAAGCCTGATTACAGAACAAAGGTTAAAGGTGTTCCAGCCCATGGGAAGCACATATGTCCATCTAAAATTTTCATATATTATTTAGGAGAGAGCTGATCAAAAATAATTCTTCTGCCAGTTTTTTGCAAGGCTTGAAGTTTCATCATCATGATCATATTTATTAAGGGCCTTCTAGAGATGAGTAATTTACCTGGGGTTCATTTCGGTGTTTGAAAAAAGAGCTAAGAAAGAAGACCTGTTAGCCAGCACGTTTTTACCTTTGGCTAAATAAGGTTCAGTGTGCATTGTCATCCAGCTGCGGACCTAGTGGAATCAACCTAGTAAATCTTGGTGAGGGTGAGAAAGAAAGGACACTTAGCTTTCCCTTGATGTGATTTGGACATATTCTGGGCTGTTGATGGGTGTCTTGGCTGTGAGTAGTCAGGTTGCTTTGGGGTTGAGTCTATGTTGTGCAGACTTACTTCCCTACCTCCTTTGGACAAGTTCAGCCAGGAATATCTTGAGACTTTCTAGTAGTCTTTACTGACTTGGCCTTCCAGTTTTATCAAAACTTTGGCAAACTCAGACCATAAGTTAATACCATAAATTCATTTAATATGGGAATAACTGCAATTTTGAATGCTTGACATTATTATAAATTATGTACAATTAGTATAGAAATCGTTGGCATTGTTAGTTGCCTCGAGATTTGTTTAATCAAGTTTCTCAGAGTTATATTTAGATTTCGTCGTGATGGGATGAAATTTTACCTTTCAATTTATTTTTTTACACCATCTAGTGGCTCAGAATGAGTGGTGCAGGTAATTGCAGCTATTGTGCACAATCAAAATGGTGTCATAAATTCAGCTTTAAATCCAGCTTGGGTTATTACTTTCCTGTCTCATGTCAATAAGATATTAGCATTAATCATGAAAAATTTTGTTCATCATTCTGAATTAAATATGTAAATTGTATATATAAGGAAGAATACATTTTAAGGATTCTAAAATAGTATTTGTAGAGACATAGAAAATGTGTACTTTGTAAAGAAATTAATGCCATGACTTGTCTATTAATAATAAATAAGACCATTTAAAAGATTTTAAAGATATGTAGCTTTCTTTTAGTAATGGACTCATTTATAATTTGAAATACCAAATTATCATTGTTTGATTTGATTTACCATCTAGAAGTTTGTCAGTTCTGAAAATATTCTTTAAAAAGGAAAGACAAGGCCAGGCGTGGTGGCTCACGCCTGTAATCCCAGCACTTTGGGAGGCCGAGGAGGGTGGATCACGAGGTCAAGAGATCAAGACCATCCTGGTCAACGTGGTGAAACCCTGTCTCTACTAAAAATACAAAAAATTAGCTGGGCATGGTGGCACGGCCTGTAGTCCTGGCTACTCGGAAGGCTGAGGCAGGAGAATTGCCTGAACCCAGTAGGCAGAGGTTGCGGTGAGATCGTGCCATTGCACTCCAGCCTGGGTAACAAGAGCGAAACTCCGTCTCAAAAAAAAAAAAAAGGCAACACAAAATAAGAAAACATGCATGCTTTCAATATAAACATTTAGACAAAACAAGAAATAAAATTTCATGCATGATAATGAAGAGTGTTTTAATTTTGTAAATGTAATGGCAGAAAAACATTTAACTAGCTTGGGGATTAGGCAGTCTTCATTTAAAAATCACTATAGAAATATAGTTTGATTTTAAAATTCAATATTTTTTTTTTCTGTTTTGCAAGAAAGCCCTGATGGAATGTTAGCTGTGCTCAGTCAACCTGGGGATGATTTATTTATTTTAGGCCTCTTTTGAGAGTTACACAAATCTTAGCCTTTATTTTTTATTTTTCTTCTGGTGCAAATCAAATGCTGCAATAAAGAAAGAAGGCAGATACTGTGCTCTTCCCCCTTCCTTTTAAAACATTTTCCAATTAGCAGCTCTCATGTGACCCCTGGCTGAGCCAGCCCCTCCTTCAAAGTGTCCGGCATTTTTTTAGTTTTAACCTTTGAACCTCACTAATAATAAATCTAAATACCACTTGCCTTAAAAGGCAAGCCAGTAACTTTTTGCTTTACATTTCTTTTCATATAAGGTTGTTGCTGTTTTTTAATGTGTTAAAATTAAAATAGTTCAGTGGAGATTTGGACATCTCTTTTTTCTTAAAAAATGGAGGAAATTTATAAACACTGATGAAAGCAGAACTTGTGATTTTAATGACAGTTGTATTGTTAGTGAATTAACAATTGGTTTCAGATTCATTTGATAGGGGGGAAATCATATTTGAGATAGAAAACCTGTATTTATTTTCTTAAGAAATTGGGTTGTTTAAAATAATACTATTTTTTATTAGTTTTTATTTCATTTTTATTACCACTAAATGAACCAGGAACATAATATCATAGCTAATAGTATTTTCCTAGAACCAGATTATATAGCAGTAGGTATATTCTGAGATCTCAAATGCCTTTTTGGTTATGTTATTCTTTTTTCTCTTCTGGATTCCTATCCCCTATTAGTTTATCTTTTAATCTGTACTCAGATAAACTGCTAACCGCATTCTTATAGTTACTTTTAAAGCAATAAATTATTTTTAGAGATTTAATAACAGACAAGCTATACTTCAGAAAAGAGGTACACTACTTTGATATTAAAAGAAAAATGAGAGAGTTAAGAATTCTGGAATATTTTATCCAGTCTAGGGCATATGCGACTAGCTTTGCAGACTTCTGAGAAACTTTTTTAAGTCAAACACAGGAAATGTAGGTGAAGACAGTGGTCACT